GTTTGTTTTCTTTCGGGAGCTCATGGTTAATTGAAGTTCAACGGAAGATAAATAACGAATACAAAATATAGAAATTCCAGCGGTAAAGTTTCGTCAATGAAAATCGAAAAAGATCAGAAAATCGTTTTCCAAATTACAGTTCGATCAAAAAAAAGATGAGTAATCCAAAGTTCTTCCAAGAAGTTTAATATTGTAAACGATTAAATTTCTAAATGTTTCCTTATTCTTCTTAATAATCAGACTGTAGTAGGCTTGTTCTTCTTAATTGTCAGACTGCAGTTGTTCTTCTAATTAAAAGTCAGACTGTAGATGAATTTTCTACCGTAGCAGTTCAATTTGTTTCCAGTAGGTGTAAGTCGAACGCACCCCTCTCCTAGTCCAATATCAGAACACAATAACTCTAGGAGAAAGTGGTCTATTTATATAAAAAAATGGAAATACAAACAAATACCTGACTTTTGATACACCTTCCAAGTCCCAATTACCCTGATGGGTATCCGGTTCCAAAAGAATAAGTGATGCTAGATCCAACCGCAACAGTATCAAATCCAAATATGGCTGTAGCCATATTAAAGATCAAATTTAAACAACACGTGTACAGTTCAGAAGCAAACATAAAAACTTCAATATAAGTACAAGTTATAGAAATAATAACAATACACAATGATAAAATCTCAAAATGGAATCAAATAGAGTACCAAAATGTCAACAGAAAGAGTCATAACACAAATATATAAACATGGAGGGATTTTCCAAAAAACAAAACATTCAAAAAGATTCTACGAGGTATGTTATACCTTGTACGTTTACTAGTGATGTTCTCAAACCTTACTGGACCCTGGAAAATGCAACTACTAGAAGTGTTGATATAATCGATCGACAAAGTATTGACTAGCCTTTTCACAACATAGAACTGCTACTCGTCCCGGTAAAAATTAGGTTACTGCGTGCAACAAAGTTAACTAGCCAACTAACTTTCAAAGGAGATCTTTTCGACATCCCCTTTTATTTCCAAAGAGGTGCAACCTATTCTCGTCTCGCTGAGAAATAACACTGTGGACAAACTGGCCACATCTGCCGATCAGATTTTGGAGATCACCAGAGCCCCAAAGTCGCGGTCTATTCCGTTGAACAAACACTTTGAGCCAGCCGAAACGAGATAACATACCTTCATAAGACAGTACTGCGCTTTCCAAATCTTCCGCACAACAGCGAACGATCGATGACTCTATGATCAAGCCTATCTTCTAGGAAGATCTGCATCTAGCCAATTACAGGTAATCTGAACTGGCGTGGAAATCATTACACTCATATCCAATCTGAAAATTGCAGGAAACCTTGGGGTTTCCCCGGGCTCAAATCTCCGCCATAGATATTTCTGAAAACTCTCCCACGATACAGGTTAGTGGCTACTCTTGTCGATGGACAAAGCTGTCTGATCCACGTCACTAGATTGATGACGATTGATCACCACTGTCACAGAATTTGGCATCCTCCCTGCGAGCACAAACTATCGTTTACAGTCTACAGGTGGCAAGCAGAAACCCAGTCGCTACCAATGGCAAAAGTCACGTTTACCCTAACGGAGGTTAACGCAAACCCATTCACTGGATTTTCGTTTTGGTCAAGGTGTCACTGCTAATCATTGGCATAAGCCTTCTAAAATACCTCAAACTCCCCGTCGACTGAAGCAAACACGCATCCGCAGACAGCAGTATTATATCATTTGTTTGTAAAATTATATTCTCTTTTTGCATGTTAAACACATAACCGACCCATTCTTTCAACCAATACTCGACAAGTACTTGGGACTGTGCAAACAGCGGGCACAATAATCGTGTGCAACCAGCAAAGTTTCAAGTTACATCACAAATAGACGACCACCAGTATTCTCAAGTGCCCGGTGACTAGCTCCTGTAAAGCTAACACTGGCCTGAAACGAATTGTATCACGCGATAGATTTGGGGATCACTCGACGGTCAAACCGCCTACTGACATCTCCATTGCATGTGGTCCTCAGAAGGGACAGTAATAATTGACTTTCAACTGGTATTTAATGATGACTCAGTGTGAGAGTAACACCCTTTCGTTACTTGTTGTCTCAAATTCACGACTTAGCAACCACTTCAAAATCTTGGTTAAAGCTTACAACTAAATCCCTGAGCCTAGTGACAACGTTTCCAAAACAGCCATCATCACTTCCCTTTGGAATCTATGAATATTCGCATAAGTCCTTCTGTCCAAACTTTCCAGAGATTCGTTGATGATGACTTTTTTGGTCCCTGACTTCCTCATGCTTATGTTGATGACTGAGGATCTCATCTCAGGCATCTGAGTCTTGTTTTCCAACGACCTCAATAACATGGCGTTACTGTTAACATACATAAATGTCGAATTGGAACTGAGTCCTTAGACTTTCTTAAGAACACAATTGACGCTCAAGGTAACTGTCTTCTAGAAAATAATGTGGCAGCTATTCTGGGTTTCTGGGAACCTACCACATTCAAGCGACTATGCACGTTTTAACGGACTGGTAAGATTTACCAACCGTTCACTCTGAATCACGTATCTCTGTTGATCAGTTGCCTGAAAATGCGAAAACAATTAGTTTGGACAACACTGCGAAGAAATCAGTTTCCATGCTTAACAAACATACAGCGAATGAACGTTGTTGGCACACCTCGAATCCAAGGCGCCCATTAATATCACAGTAGACGAATCTCATTCATCAACCGGAGGAGTCCTACGACAACGTTTAAACAGTAACTGGAATTCTTTTTCTCTTGGCTCGACTTCAGACACGTTCTCTCTTCGAGAGTCAAGACAACCGGATACACCTGGCAGTTTAGTTTAGATTTACAAATCATTTCTGGGACAAACAAACACTAAATCACATTTCTTATCTGAACGGTTTTCAGTGCATTGGCTTTCTTAAAGTCGCTCAGCTTCAAAAGGAAGATACTGAGCTCCTACTTGAATTTTCGCGGGCAACGCTGAAAATAAGATTGAAATAGATGAGAATGGGCAAGAAACCTTGCATTCAGATACATTTACAGGTAAGGATCATCCAGTTGTACCAAACTTTTATGGTGCACATACTTTATAATCCATTAATAAAAATAGGACTAGATAAAACATAGGCGTCAATCGGCTGACGGTTGCCTGCTCAGCAAAACACCTGTTACCCATCCCTCCCGCCAACACACAAACGGACGACACAGATCCGACGGCTTCAATGAGATTCCCAACATGGGACGACTATGGTACTACTAATGTTGATCACACCGATTTTACCGGACATTACATAAGTGAAGGTGCTCGGTCACATATCCATACCAGACCACTGATAGGTACACAGCGCCACGCACTTGCATACATCAACAATTACGATTGGTGCACTCACTCGTCGACATCTATAACTTTTATTTTCCTACACTTTCCCTCTTATTTGATTAAACATCTTTCCTCCACTTCCTATTAAATGCTTACATATTTTTTGAAAACTCCTAAACATTTCTCTATAACAGTTAACCGTATTGTATTGATGCCTAGTCCATAGTTCATAAACTAAAACAGCCAAACGAGCTTGTAAAACTGATCTTGAAGATATTGTACTTCTCAGCAGGATGTGAAATATAGAGCTCAGAGAGAACTTCAAACGTAATCGTACAATCATTTTTAAACGAACCTAACAACACACAGCTCGTGTGACACAGCTCGTTACTAAGGTTAATTTATACGGAATGGTTTTAACTTGGGGAGGGTTCACCATATACGACTGCCAGTTTTTATGACCTTTTCTAAATTTGGGGGTCATGTTTACCAGCTGGCTTGGTAGAGTAGGATGCATAGAGTTTTCATTCTCAGCGTTTTTGAGAATAAGGTTTGGTTTCAAAGCAAAAATAAATCCAATCGAAAATTTGGCGTACGATGAAGAGTTAGAACTTACAGTATATCTCCTACATATATATATATATATATATATATATATATATATCAGAGCAGGCAATGTAGTAGGTCCTAATTCAGATCTTGTTCAACAGCGTAGTGGGTTAGAAGGTTGGTAAATAAAACGCACAGACCCTTCAACACTCAGAACGCAATAATATAGAACTTAACGCATGTCTAACGCCAGAAAGTAAATACTCAGTTTGATTTAATGCCCTAATCCTAACTGACGCATTTGACTAGCTCGTAACTACCTAATCAGAGCTGATATAACATGGTGATATTCGAACATCTGGACCGACAGCTTCCAAACGGTTCAGCAAAGAGGAATCCGTTTTATCGTGCCATCAATACTGCCAGATGCAAAGAGCTTGGTATCTAGTATCTTCTCTGAAGTGAAAGCTGCGATATTACTGATTAGCAAGCGGCATCGGGATAGCTTGTATGATACCCGCCCTACCAACGCACAGACCGATCTAAAGAAACCATATTAAAGATCAGGGTCTAGTGGGCCGAAGAAGAAAAATTCCGACCATAAAGAATTTTGTGCGGATATAAACCCGTCCTCTCAGTGGCGGCAACCAAAAATGAGTGAAGAATTTTAACTTCAAGCCGGATCTGTAACTAACATGAGTAGCTCTCTGACTATAAAAGTCGCCAAAAACCACCCAGGGTCTCAAACTATACTCGATGAAGTTGTGACTGCTGCTTTAATGAAAGATGATGAATGGGTACAACTTACGAAGAAGAAATGACCAAGTGTGGTTGAAGATATACCAGCCCCCATAACGGCAGTTATGAAACCGAATGCTGGTCCCAGTAGTAAGCCATTCATCTTTCATAGGGTAAAAGAGAGAGAAATCTCATGCCACAAAATCTGCTTCCAGAATGACATAGGGTTCAAAACAGATGTACTATATAAGCTAATACCATGAAAAATCCCTGAGCCCCTTTTTAGATGTTTAACAGGACAAAAGGCTCATAAAAAACTGCAAACTGACTAGAATAAGACAGTCTAGTGTCTAGACCCACCTTCAAGTTCGGGAAAACATATTGGATGTTGGACGCGGTTATTACAAGTACTGTTGTACAACATGTGAGAGAAGTAACTAGGTACGGTCCAGGTTCCGAATCGTGCTTACTAGATATCATACTGAGCCAATTAGTATCCCGCTCCTATATCCTCTAAGTCGTCTCAATCTAGTAAGAGGATATGGAGTTGATTATTCAGGCATTAAACAATTATTTAATATCGCACTTACCAAAATCAGATCACTTAATCTACGAAATGACAATATTAAGAGGTATCACTTTTTAAGCTACTCTGTGTATTATAACTTGGATTTCTGGAATTATGACATTTCTTCTAAACTTCCCATCTCTGTAATCCGATATGGTCACAGACGTGCATGTCTCACTTTTTTGCTTATTATTCTAGGTGCTACTGTTAGTCAACCATTAACTTCACGTTACTACTTAACCGAGTCTTCTAAAGAGTACAGACTTGCCCTTGTATAGTCTGTGATGCGTTGCCGAGTCTGTCGACTCACACATTGTGGGTTACTCTTTGATTTGTTTCTTTTTTACTAGCTCTCTTTTTTCCCCTTGTCATTTTTCCTACATGCAATAGGTTTACTTACCGAGAGAAATACCACTGCCTTTTTTGAACAGTTAAGTTTTTATGTGGTGATTCCTCCCATCTTGGTAAGTTAATATGTACTATTTATCAGTCACATCTAGGTGCAAAATACTTGTAAATATCTTTCCAAATGCAACGGAATTACTTGTGACCTCACCCAACTTGTGCTTGTCTCTATATTTTGGTTTAAATATTCACGAGGCAAAATTTTCGGGGAAAATAAACATTTTCGGGAGAATAAGTGTTGATTTTGAGACGTTTCTTGAAAAGGGGAGATTTTGTGGAAATGTCTCACTATTAATCCTGGACTGGGAAAAAATATGGCAATTTAGTGCACTGTCACACACACACCGAGTTTACAGCCTGTATTTCCTCTCCAGTTTGCATGGGAATACCATCCAAAACTTAATACCTATAAGACAAAAAGTGCGGGACCAAGCGCATACTAGTTACCTCGCCTTTCTGTCTCATTTTCTGAATGTGCCCCACTCATTCACACTAACCCTTTAAGATTTGACAGTTAATGTGTTGCGAAGTAATTAAAATGTATGATTTTCAAACATTGATGCAGTTTTAATTCCCAAATAACCCGTATTTTTGTGAGGAATAAAGTAGTTATACCAACCGAGAAGTTCGACTTAAAACCAAACAGATAAACCCGTTATTTATTACTGGATTACATGATGTGCTTGTTTTAATTTCAATTATCTTATAATAAAATTTTCATTTTTAACGATATTTTTGTTAACAGCAGTTTCTTAATAAATCCTACCGTTAGTATCTCTAAATTCTGGATACTAAGCTTGAAACGATGTTTCTTTTGTAAATTTTTATCCATTTTAGTAGAAAACTTGCCTCAACAGTTCTGTCATCTTGTACACTTTACGTCTGGTCTAATACATGGCTTGGTCACTGGTTCGTAAATTGAATAAGTACATTATTTTATATATGTAGAGTCAAATAAATTCAGCTGTAAATAATAACCGTAATCGCTACTTGGTACAATGCAAAAAATATATAAAGGAAATCTTAAGTTCAGGAGTACTGGGTACCGAGGCAGCCTCACTGGATATTATTGAAGTAAGCCAATTTTTTATTTCAAATGTTTTGATGCTGTCAATGAATAATTGTTCTTCATTCCACAGAATCACGCTTTTTTTCTCTCACTACTCGTGCTTCATCTTTTTTTTGGATTTCAAACTACCTGCAACTCATTAGCAGCCCGCTAGTTCCACAACTCCGTCCACCCACTAGTTTTTTGTTTGAACCACTATCTACCTATTGATAGTTTTATACATAACTTTTGACCAATCCTGCTACGTATGCATATGAATAGTAATATGATGAAAGACCTCCAGTACCCATCACTACGTTGCCAAGATGCTTATTAACTGGGATATTTTATATTTTACACTCGCTTAACCAAATAACGTAGTTTGTACCCTCTCAATATAACCATCGATATAAATTATCAAATTGAAAAGAAATAGAGCTGTCTAAATTATGATACAATTTATGTGATGGAATAACAATGAATATCTGACTGTCATCAGTTAAAATAATAACTATTTGAGTTATGTATCGTCCAATCATTAATGCATTGTACTCAACACTTTTAGAACAAAAAAGTGCCAATTGTTTACTTTGCAGTAGGTTACTGGTTTTCGATCATAGGTGTCTTCGAAGCATTGCTCGTATATCTTGGGACACCCGAGTGAGCAACGCTGTTATTAGGAGTCGGGTGCTAGGTAAGAATGGCAGATCAATAGACGCAGTAGTGACACTTCATCAGTTGAGGTGGTTGGGACATGTGCTGCGTATGCCCAACCACCGACTGCCTCGTCGAGCTTTGTTTTGTAGTGTAGGAATAGGTTGAAAGAAAGTTAGGGGCGGCCAAACCAAAACATGGCAGAAATCCATGAAGTCATTGACGAGTGGACTTAACCATGTCGGTAACTGTCGACTACCTGGTTGGGGTCCGAGAGATGATAATAATCGATGGTTAGAGACCTTGAATGACATGTCTCAAAATCGTTCTCAGTGGCGCCGGTGCACTTATTCTTTGTGTTCTCTCAAACCCTAATCTTCTGGGTTCTTCAACAACTCTAGTTTTGACTTTCTAAACTTTTCTCATTTAATCATACTTCTTGAATAATATCTTCTAATCCTAACCTCTCCGATTACTTCTAATACCTTTACTATCTCTTCTACTATTGGATTTGAATTGACAATTATATCTCTGTGCTGATGTGGTGGTATGGCAACATGAACTGATGTTCTTACGTACGAAGTTCTACGTTGCAACTGACTGACTACCTTCGGTTTTACTACTTAACTGACTTAGAAATGACAAAACCTAAAACAACATTCGGTCTTCTAATCAGTCATTGGTAGGTAACCGATAATTTTAAAGTTGTATGTATTTCTATTGAAATTAGTATGTCACAGAGTCAACAAGTAGACAGTAAGTGAAATAACGGTATTAAAATGAACACTGAAAATGATAAAGGCGTAGGAATTATCAAACCACATGTATATTGGTAGAAAGTCCATGAAAAAATTGTATTCACATTGTAGTGAAGGAGAACACAGGTGGGGCAACCGAATCGAATTTAACGAAAATTACAGAGTTACTCAGTAAAATAAGAAAGCCATATCTTAAATCGTTAATTTGCAAAATATCAGTCCATCATATCGAAATGGACTGTTCCTGTTGCAAAACATCAATCCATTGTCACTATTCATGCGTTTTATACAAATTCCATTGTTTTCTAACTATTCCTTTCTTGATCTTCCCCCATCTTCTGCTGCCAGACATTACGTTTTTACTCACGTCATATACTACTTATGAGTAGCTCGCACCACAACATGAATTTATTTTTGCACTTAAGAACAGGTAATAACTCTAGTAATGGTCTCAATAATAATATTATGATTTTTGAGTCTTCATGGAATCCCAGTATATGGAAAAACTGTATATAAGGTTCATATTCTATGTATCTTTAATAACTATAGTACTATTCAAGAAGAGTAAAATGTGTCAAATTTTAGTTTTCCTGAATGGGAAGTGACTTACAAAACCCTCATCCTACATTCGTTTATATTTTTAGTAACATCTAACCACGTTTACTACTGTGCGTATATTTTCTATACAAATGTGGTATTTAGCTAAAGGCTAAGCCTATATTCCTATCCAATTGTATTGGTTTTTGATATCTGTTCACTTTAGTGACTGCTCATAAAAGTTGGTTTGTTTTTTTTTAGGTATTATCAGGTAACTAACTGTATTGTGTCGTTTAATATCGATCATTTGACTTTCTTCTAATTATTTCAACAACTAAAATGCTTATAGCAAACTCGAAACCGCACATAAAAGTTGTATTCATCAAATTTTGTTAAAAATTAATTCATGTACACACACTATACAGTCAGATTATTTGTATGTAGCAGGAGAATTAAAGAACTTCTTTCATAAATCGATTCCTACTTTTTTTTAAAAATAAATTTTAGCTTATACCCGGAAATATGTATACCAAAATTGATGTCAATTGTAAACTACCCATTTGTCATAGTTCCAACAAACTATTAGTGAAACAATCACCTACCGCTCTAGCATCTGATATTCAACAATTTATCAATAGTGGAAGTGGTGAACTAAGGTATAGTATGCTTGGTTACTTGGTTACTTTTTTTTTAGATCACTTTTGCGTAAGAATTATCCAAAAATGAAGATTCCTGTTTTTCAGTTTTTTATTACCGAAGAAGCTTATAAAGTAAGTGATTCTATTGCACGTGTGTTTAGTTTTATCCCACACACTGTCCTTTCTTCATGAATATATTTAAGCTGTAAAAAGTTGCCCGACGATAGCTGCTACCTTGACGTGGTGGTCGGGCTTGCCTATCGTGATGACCCAACCGAGCTATACTGACTGGAACATATGTTCCTGCAGGTCCTACCATGCCAGGCTGGTCGATTGGAGAACGATGAGACTAAAAGCAGCTACCCAAGGTCTGGCGGCGAAGTCGTACTGCTGACTGCAGAGGGGTGTGACAGCTGTAAGGTGTTTCCCTCGGACAACCAGCATCTGCAGCGATGCTGCCTTCTCACAAGGAAGGAAGGGTTAGAAAAGGTCGGCCCTAAAAATGTCACACCTCCCTTAACTCACGGATTTCCGTCTCCTTGGGTAAGGGTGCCCACTAAGGGCCTTTAAGAACGGAGCTAATCCTCAAAATACCTTTCATAAAAAGGCCGTGCGTGACCGGCCTCAAGCAGTTGTCCCTTGGACTCTGCGGTCACGCACCAACACTAATCTATCTTCTTTCTCAGGTCCCTCAAGAATCAACCTTCCACGGTGTGGGCAGCCGGGAAGTGACAACCGCCCTCATACCCATAACAACACGAGAGACCAAATTGGTCAAAATCAAATCCTTCCTACACCCACAGGAAGATTGATCGACAAAAAGAAGCCATCAACTGAGATTTCGTGCTTCTTCTCACTTATCAGGAAGATGTATCGTAAGAATATCCATATCCATTTAGTCTTTATTATTGGCTATCATACTGCAATAGGATAGAATTCGATTAGAACTAGAAATTAAACAATCTGCCATTGGTTAACAACCTAGTTATTGATTTCCATGATAAATAGGAAGTTCAATAAAAAATATAATGTCAATCGTTAGTTACGTCATATCCGGCCGCGGAAGAGATAGGGGTGTCACGAATTTCTTCTGAACACATAAATTAGGGTTGAATGTACGTATTCCTTTGGCTTCTGCAATGTGTAGGAGACGGGATTGAACTCCGTTGGGAAATGATGGAGGTATACGACAGATCACCCGAAAAGATCTAGATTTATCTACAATATGACCACTAGCGACCAGGTGTGCTAAGATAGAACTGCGTATTGTTTTTGACTGACCCTTCGTAAACCATGCTGGGAGATGTTCACTCATTCGTTGTGTAAATTGCCTGGAAGTACGCCCGATATAGCTATCTCCACAGGAGCAGCTGAATTTGTAAATGCACATAGAGGAGGCCAGCTCAGGTAACTTATCGCAGGTCGACTGGAGAAAGTCAATGCAAGTTTGGCAACGTTGAATCTTCTCTTAATTACTCTTCTTAATCTGTCCTGCAGAGTATCGCAGGCCACATCTCCGTTGAATTGTAGCTTCATAAATAAAGGCTTCTTTTGGTTTCTTTTATTTTATTTTTACACATTTGCTTATTACGTAATGTTTTTGATGTTTTTGATGATTATTTGAATTCTATTCATCCACCCTTGACCTACTTTAGTTATCATATTTTATAAATTTTCTTACTACTATCAGTACACCTGTTTTCCTACTATCCACTTGAACTTTTGCCTATTATATGTAGTTGCGTAATCTTTTTCATTTCATTGTGATTATCGCTCAAATTGCCTTGATTGGTTTTAACATTTTCATATAAATATTCATGTATATTAGAGCAAAGCCTGATGACGATCTAGTCGAAAACAATATTGTTCGCTTATATGTGTTGTTCTAATTTTCACAATGGGAATCTTTAAAATTCTTAAATAGGAAGTTGTTTTTCAATATTGTTGGAAAGCTTCAAATTATTTGTGTGTAGTTAGTTACCAATAACGATGACTAGGAAAGTAATTTACAATTTTAATTAGAAAATCTATAATTCATATTACATTTTTGTAAGAACAAAGTCTTGTTTTTTTAAATGTATTAGTGAAATATGCTGAGTTGTTCTGTCACAGTGTGACGTTTATCCTATGATGGTCAGAATCTTTTAAATAGATTGGAATCACCTAACATCAATAGCATGTTTCGTATTAAGTATGGGATTTATATATTTCCAAAAGATCATACATTCTTCATGTGAATTCTCAAAAATTGATCTACTAAAAGGTTTACCAATGAAATTCGAATATGCAAAAAGTACATTTAGATTGGCTGAGGACTCTAACGATATGCAGTTTCCTTGACAACTTGAGTAACAACTGAAGGATGTTTAGAATGAGTTTCTATTCTTTCTGTTACAGAATGTTGCTTCCCGACTGGTCTTCATCATCGCCTAGTTTGATAATAGAGATTAAAGTAATTAAGTACGTTGACCACTTGATTTATGTTAGAAATCTCGTCAAACCTAGCGTTTTGATATCTGACGATTTCGATATGGATTCAGAATGCTCGATCAGTTTTTACTAGTTCAGGTCACTTGTAGTGTAAACGAGAGGGTTAGTTTACTGCTCTGACGTTCTCTTTTTTTATTTTTCCATGGCTACGTAACGGGATCTGTATGAGTAGAGGACATACGTGAACTGTAAGGTTCTAGTCATAGATGCCTTTCCTGGTACTTTGTATGTGTTGGGACTATAGAATGAGCATTGCTGAGGTTCGAGATAGGTTACCATATGAACATGATAAGTCGGATAGTAAGGTTATGAATCCTTATCATATCGGGTGTTTCGAACATGTCACACGTACCAAACTGCCATTTACTTCGACTAGCAAAGTTGACTAATAGAAGAAAGCTAGGGACAGCTAAATCGAGATGTCCATAAAATCACTGACTGTTGGACTGGCTTTTGATGTTAGTTTCAAACTTCTGATCTTCATCCTTGCAATTGTTGTAAATTAATTTAATCTGTGTTCGCATGCTTTTAAATATTCTTAAACGTCACCAAAAGTAGTTAGACATCTCACATGCCATGTTTCAAATTTTTTCGCCTCCATATAACCATTTTAAAATTTCGAAAACGAAATAAACTCACATAAGGCTAAGTCTTGTAAGTTGAAAATTAGATCTAGCTACTGAATAAAGACTCTTGAACAATCACTGATGAATATACAAACGAATTGTCATATATTTACTGGACAGAATTTACAGCCTTTTATCGATTAATAGCTAAATAATATGGAAGAGAACAAACCGGATTCCAGCGGAGGAGGAAATCAGAAAGAAGCGGTGGATGTGGGTAGGACACACACTACGAAAAGTACCCAACTGTCTCACAAGACAAGCCCTCACCTGGAACCCTCAAGGTAAAAAGAAAAAGAGGAAGGCCAAGGAACACATTAACCCGATAAATAGAGAAAGATATTAGAAGAATGAAAAAAAAATTGGACAGAACTGGAAAGGGAAGCCCAGAACAGAGTAGGTTGGAGAATACTGGTCAGCGGTCTATCCTCTATTGGGGGTAACAACAAGCGTAAGTAAGCTAAGTAATAACAAACCATCAAGGTCAGGTCAGCCCATGGGATGGCATTTAAGTACATCACAACCGGGTGCTTGTTTAATTGTCTCCATAATAAACAGTTTTAATAGCCCAAATTATGCATCTACTTGACAGACTGACTGCTCATGCTTTTTCTTTTATGGTTAGCTGTGTATATTGACTGCACCATTTTCATTAATTTACATTCTTTATTATCATTCAAAAAAGTTGTTTCTTGGTTTCTTTCCATTCTTAAATTACACTGATTTAGGTAACTGCTCCTTTGAATGAATCCAATGATGTTGTTGTATGTGCTACTACTACTACTCCAACATTTATTAAACCTAATAATGTTTATGGTTTGGAACGTAATAAACTTGTCAATATAATTAATACAAGATTGAAAGCAATGAAGAAAAAGTCTCATCAGTCAGAGTCGAAAAATTTAGTATGTCATTGCTATTTTGTATTTATAATCCTCTTTTATTATTATGCAATTAAATGCGTGTGGAAAATTGTTCGATAACAAAATCTCTTCAGTTTGAATAGATAGATACCTAACAAATAAATTCACAAGTATTGAGTTGTGGTGATTAATAAGTTTCACCGAAATCATGAACCACCGATCAATGTTAAACAAACCATTGAAAACTTAGGAGCACTGAACGGTTATTTCATCCCAGTATGAAACTCTTCGGCAGGGTGCATCCAAGATAACGCAGACAGGATTTGAGCACAAGACCTACGGTCTCGCGCGCGAATGCTTAACCTCTAGTCCACTAAGTCAGCATACAGCACGTCTAAAACAAGGTTCACTTCGTTCGGTTGTACAGTTCGAAAAGTTTTTGATTTTACAACTTTGTATAAATAGTTCGGTTGTATTATAATTCTTCACATAACAAGTATGCCTGATAGATGTGCATATGGCTTCAAGTTATCATACGAAAGAAAATCGAAACAATATTGAACCAATGGTCGTGGACAGTTGGTTGGTTGGGAAGGACCAGATGATATATCTGAATTGTCGTATTAAAATATACTCCCTCCTATGGTTCAAAGATAAACTATAATTATCGTTTTAGATCTTAGACTTGACCATAATGCAATTTAAATTATTTATTATGATTAATTTTGTTTCCGTTTTATTGTAAATGACTTTATGAAATCTACATCTAACTAACTACCTCAGTTTTTATTGTTTGTATAAGTGTTCAACTTAATACTACCCTAAGCAACAATGCAAGCATGTTCGGGATGTGGTTCTCACCCTCAAAATACAAAATTTTGCTTCATGATTGGGTTGCATCGGCACCTGAACTAGTGATAGGGAGTGAAGTAGTCGAATGTGTAGACCGCTTCACGTATCTGGGAAGTCTCATCAGTGCCGATGGTCTAGTGACTGACGAAATCTCAGCTCGAATACAGAGGGCTCGATTGGCTTTTGCCAACCACGATCTCCAGTCATCCTGAATGGCAAATCGACGTAAGTCCCCCTAGTCTTAATGAAGTTGAAAAAGCGTTAGGAAATATGAAGCGAAGGCGAGCTGCAGGTCCTGATAGACTGACCACTGAGATATTTAGGTGTGGTGGTCCAGTTTTAGCAACTAGGTTGACCGAAATCTTAGGTAGAATCTGGGAACTGAACGTAATCCCATCCGACTGGTCTAAATCACTGATTGTCCTAATCTATAAGAAAGGACAAAAGTCTTCTTGTGACAATCACAGGGGAATAAGTCTAACTAATATAGTATCTAAAATATTAGCCTCAGTAATACTTCGGCGCTTAACGAAAGCTCGTGAAAAGCAGATAGAGAAAACCAGGCTGGTTTTCGACCTGGACGTTGTCGTATAGACCACGTCCTCACACTACGACAGGTCCTGGAACACAGACACACATTTAGGCGTCCTACAATAGTTGTTTTCCTAGACCTTAAGGCGGCATTTGACTCAGTGGATCGTGAGGTTCTGTGGCAGTGTCTGTCATTGAAAGGTGTACCAAAGAAGTACATTAACCTTATACAACCTCTCCACTCGAACACCACTTGGTGGCGAACTGTCACTGGAATTCTTTACTTCAAGTGGTGTCCGTCAGGGATGTCCACTTCCCCCATTCTTGTTTAATTTTACCATAGACATGCTCCTAGAAATAACCTTATCCTCGTCTGAATTTTCAGGAGTAGACCTTTTACCAGGAGGCTCGCTTATTGACTTAGAATATGCCGATGACATTGTCCTACTTGGTGAAGACGCTGACAAAATGCAGTGTCTTCTGACCACGCTAAGCGACAATGCAAGCATGTTCGGTATGCGGTTTTCTCCCTCGAAATGCAAAATGTTGCTTCAAGATTGGGTTTCATCGGCACCTGAACTAGTGATAGGGAGGGGAGTAGTCGAGCGTGTTGACTGCTTCACTTATCTTGGGAGTCTCATCAGTGCTGATAACCTGGTAACTGACGAAATCTCAGCACGGATACAGAAGGCTCGATTGGCTTTTGCCGACCTGCATCACTTATGGCGTAGGCGAGATATCTGTTTGCTGACTAAAGGACAAGTGTACTGCGCGTTAGTTCGCTCAGTCTTACTTTATGGCTGTGAAACATGGCCAGTGAGAGTAGAAGATATTCGTACGTTACTGGTTTTCGATCATAAGTGTCTTCGAAGCATTGCTCGTATATCGTGGGACACCCGAGTGAGCAACGCTGTTATTAGGAAACGGGTACTAGGTAAGAATGGCAGATCAATAGATGAAGTGGTGAGACTTCATCAGTTGAGGTGGTTGGGACATGTGTTGCGTATGCCCAACCACCGACTGCCTCGTCGAGCTTTGTTTTGTAGTGTAGGAGTAGGTTGGAAGAAAGTTAGGGGCGGTCAGACCAAAACATGGCAGAAATCCATGAAATCATTAACGAGTGGACTGAGTCATGTTGGTAGATGTCGACTACCTGGTTGGGGTCCGCGAGATGATAATAATCGATGGTTAGAGACCTTGAATGACATGTCTCAAAATCGCTCGCAATGGCGCAGGTGCATTTATTATTTGTGTTCTCTCAAATCCTAATCTTCTGGGTTCTTCAACACCTCTAGTTTTGACTTTCTAATCTTTTCTCATTAAATCATACTTCTTGAATAATATCTTCTAATTCTAACCTCTCCGATTACCTCAAATACCCTTACTAACTTTGACTTTCTAATCTTTTCTCATTAAATCATACTTCTTGAATAATATCTTCTAATTCTAACCTCTCCGATTACCTCAAATACCCTTACTAACTCTTCTACTATTGGATTTGAATTGACAATTATATCTCTGTGCTGATAAGGTATGGCGACATGAACTGATGTACTTAGGTACGAAGTTCTACGTTGCAACTAACTAACTGACTATTGCACAGGCGAGATATCCGTTCGCTGACTAAAGGACGGGTGTACTGCGCAGCAGTTTGCTCCGTTCTCCTATATGGATGCGAAACATGGCCTTTAAGAGTAGAAGATGTTCGTAGGTTACTAGTATTCTATCATAGATGTTTAAGAAGCATTGCTCGTATATCGTGGGACAACCGAGTAAGCAATGCTGTCGTTAGGAAACGAGTACTAGGTAAGGATGGCAGATCAATCGATGAAGTGGTGAAACTTCATCAGTTGAGGTGGTTGGGACATGTGTTGCGTATGCCCAACCACCGACTGCCTCGTCGAGCTTTGTTTTGCAGTGTAGGAGTAGGTTGGAAGGAAGCTAGGGGCGGCCAAACCAAAACATGGCAGAAATGCATGAAGTCACTGACAAGTGGACTGAATCATGTTGGTAGATGTAGGCTACCTGGTTGGAGTTCGCGAGATGATAGTCACCAATGGTTATACACCTCGAATGACGTGGCTCAGAATCGTTTGCGATGGCGCAGGTGCATTCACTCTTTGTGTTCTCTCTAATTCTAGCCTGAATTCCTCATAATCTCTATCATTCTCCTTCTAAATTTATCTCACTGAATTATACGTCTCGAACCATATCTTCGCTCCCTATTCTTCTCGATTACTGCTAACACTTCTACCATCACTATCACTCTTGGATTTAAACTGATAGTTGCATCTCTATGCTGATGTGGTATGGCAATTTGAACTGATGTACTTACGTACGAAGTTCTGCATCGTATCTGTCTGTCTGTCGGTCAACTTAATACAATTTTATTTGGTATCCTTACTTATTTACAAAAGTATCTTGTTGTTCTTACATCTTTCAGATATCTGACAATTATGAAGAGGTGAATATCTCTCCTGAATATTCTCATCAAGCCCGAACTTCCACCGCTGCCTGGGCAAAATATTGGAAAGAGAGACAAGACTGGCGAGCTGTAGCTAAACGAGAAAGAAGACTTCGTTATCAGAGTTTAGGATTACAATTTTTAACGCTTAGTCTGGAGAAGAGTAATGATAGAGAAGACATTTGACATTTGACTAACTATTGTGTTAATAGTAGTACTTTTTTCAATCAGTCCTTATTGAAGTGTTCTGCTTCATCCGATGAAGAAGAAAAAAAAAGACAGCATTCTCTTTATTTTTTAAATAACCGGGGATTTGGGATTTGCAGAATATTATTGATGGAGCACCTCTAATAACACTCGAGATGACCTTGTCCACGATCATATTTCATCGGCATTTAACTTCCCACTTCATTCACCTATTCATCTCTCTTGTATTGAAAATTTCAAAGAAAATATTTTCACTGTTATTCTGTTCTAGTTTCATTGTTTATTATTATTGGCTAGACGTAGTCCATACTAACTAGTTATTGTTTTTCTGCAGTCAATGGTAAATACCTTAGTCTTACAAGGGATCAGTCTCAAGCCAGTTACCACGTTGGTGGTCTCAAACTGTGAAACTGGGTGATCAAGGATCAATTACTTGGAGACCACATGCATGAAGTCACTGACTAGTGGACTGAGTCGTGTTGGTAGATGTAGGCTACCTGGTTGGGGTCCGCGAGACGATAGTCACCAATGGTTATACACCTCGAATGACGTGGCTCAGAATCGTTTGCGATGGCGCAGGTGCATCCACTCTTTGTGTTCTCCCTAATTCTAACTTGAATTCCTCATAATTTCTATCTTTCTCCCAAATCTATCTCACTGAATTATACGTCTCAAATCATATCTTTGCTCCCCATTCTTCTCGATTACTGCTAACACCTCTACTATCGCTATCACTCTTGGATTTGAACTGACAGTTGCGTCTGTGTGCTGATGGGGCATGCTAACTTGAACTGATGTACTTACGTACGAAGTTCTGCGTTGTATCTGTCTGTCTCTCTCTGGACCATCTATTATGTTAAGATTGCAAGTAGGTCCTTTGATGATTGGTAACTAGCATCCAATCTGTATCCAAGATTTCTATCCAATTAGGCAATCGATATCAGAGACGAGTACGTTAGTTACACTATGTTTCACAGACTTTTATGAAGTCACTTAGTTGGATTATTACCAAAGCCTATGCTGTTCAACAAAGATGTCAATTATAAAAGTTATGAGTTCAACTTAGCTCTTCTATAACTCCTGAAAAATTAATGCGAATAAAATGGTTTTTTTGATATTCAAAAGAAAATTATAGTCAAGAGTATCACTTAGAAAATTAACCTTTACACTATGAAAAATGGAAAAAAAACTAGAACTTGTAAGCTTTAATATAGCTCAACAACTTTCAACTTTGGTCTGTGATAAAGGGGCTAACATTTTCCCTAAAAGTAAGAACAGTATATCTACACTCGTTGCTTATCTTCCTTTAAACCTTTGGCATTGTTATCCAGCTCAATAGTTATAACTTATTAGTCCCATACTATTCTTACTAGATGAAATTCAAATTGGGTCACTTTCAGACTAAGAATGTGTATGATTCAGTTATATTAAATCAGCTTTACGCCTTGATAATCGATAGGCTGTATAAGATCTTAATTAGGAAGACTACAAATTATTCAGTTCAAGAATATGAAATTTTCTTCTGAATTTTAGCATGAAAGTTGCAAAAGGACGTTTAAGTGAAGAAAATCGTTTCGATGATGTCACTTTCTAGAGTTGTACAATAGTACTTATAACTTTTTCGCCATATATACAATGGTCTATAATAAGAATAGGGGATTATTGTGTCATTAAAAAGTGTAATAGTCGATCAGAATTCAGAGTTGCATAATAGTTCTGTTGGTAGCACAGAGTGTGCTCTTCTCAATTCAATATCTGAACACTACTCAACATGATTACCAAAAGATGAATCGAGATTAGTCAATAGTTCTGTAGTGAAGGAGAACACAGGTGAGGGCAACCGAATCGAATTTAACGAAAATTACAGAGTTACTCAGTAAAATAGGAAAACCATATCATAAATCGTTAATTTGCAAAACATCAATCCATCATCGACCCATTGTCCGACATTTCAGTATTCATACGTTTCATACAAATTCCATTGTGTTCCCACTCTTCCTTTGTTGATCTTACCCCATCTTCTGCTGCAAGACATTACGTTGACACTCACGTCATATAATACTTATAAGTAGCGTGCACCACAGTTCGATTACTGAGCATCCAATCCAATTGTGGTCACTTACCTCTATACCAAAATCGTCAGTCAAAATGATTCAAAAATTAAAATCAACTGGTCCCAAGGATGTCAGGTTAGGAAACATTTGTGTGTATCAGTAGCCTCAGGAATTTGTAATTGCAAGATGAACCTTTGCGTTTTAATGCATTATATCTAATCTCTTAGATTATCATGGTCTTTTATCATCGCTTCATATTTTGTCAGTTATTTCTTTATACGTGTTTGTTGCCGCTCTTTCATCATCTCATATATTTCCATTTTGGACTATTTATTATCTTCCACGTCTTTGTCTTATTTCGACGCCTGTTTTTTCAGTATTTTTATCTTCCATATAAGTTGTTCAGTGAATAATAATTTTTCTTATCGCTTCCAAATATTATGCTATTCTTATTACCTCTTTTACACATCACATCACATCACAATTCTGGTAACTTTTAATTACTACTGTTGACAATACATTAATTCTCTCTATTTACACTATAGACCATTGTGCATAAGCAAAAAAAACTATTCACATAATTGTAACATTGTTGACAAGAAAATGTTTCTTCTTCTTCTTCAAACATCTGCTCTCTTTGATTATTAATATAACTCAATAAGTCGTTCAGTGTTATATTAAGATCTAATGTTACTACTACTATGGTGCTGTGGTGCGAACTACTTATAAGTAGTATATAACGTGAGTGTCAACGTAAAGTCTGGTAGCATAATATGTGGGGAAGGTCAAGAAAGGAAGAGTTAGAAAACAATGGAATTCGTATGAAACGCATGAATAGTGACAATGGATTGGTGTTTGGCAACAGGAACAGTCCAGTTCCATAGGATGAACTGATCTTTTGCAAATGAACGATTTACGATATGGTTGTCCGATTTTACTGAGTAACTCTGTAATTTTCGTTAAATTCAATTCGGTTGCCCCACCTGTGTTCTCATTCACTACACTACTAGATCAGTTAATCAGTAGTATAGTAAAAATAAATAAATAACTCCAGATACACGAATGAACATGCGAATCGTGTTTGTTCATTTTCTTATTATTTAACCAACAAAAAAAAGATGTTTAACAAAAGTAGGAATAATAATTAAATACATAAGATGATGAATTGGAATTTTGTTTTCAGTAAAATACATAATAAACTGGTCAAAAAAATGTCCGTCTATAGATAGTCGTTAAAACATTATATCAAACAAACATAATGTAGTTTACTTGACAGCAATTGAAAGTTCAATTATGTACACATTTATACGTAGTATTAGTATTTCTCATCATTATTTTTTTAATTGGGTTCATTGAATAAAATTTATATACAATTTTATACGTATTTAATGATGATATTTCGTCAAGGCCAAAAGAAAACAGGAAGGAAGGTCAAGGCACAAATTACGCCGAGGAATAGAGAAAGATATGGGTGGGAATGAACAAAAAACTGGACAGAACTGGTAAGGGAAGCCCAGGACAGAGTTAGTTGGTTGGAGAATGCTACTGGTGGGCGGCCTATACTCCAGTGTGGGGGTAACAGGCGTAAGTAAGTAAGCTAAGCTAAGTAAGTAATGATATTTCGGAATAGTAGTTAGAAATGGTATTTCAATTATTTTCATCAAAAAATAATAAAAGATATTTACTTTTTATTACGTTGAAAATATGTCAACGGTTTCGATGCTACCCGAGCTGCACGTTGTTGATAGGATTGTTTCGATTTACGATTATTATATGGTTCATATCCTTGTAAAAATGGATTCTGTTGTTGTATGGATTCACGTGATTGTTGTGAATTATGATTATTATTACGTAATTGAACTTGTGATGGAAAATCCGATGAAGTCAATAATTGCGGTTCATTTATTAATCCCATTGTTTGATTAAATGGATAATTTGTTGTAGAATCGGTAGTACGTTTTAATAAGTCTAAATCAGTTTTCGATAATAGATAAGGTGCAACATTGAGTAGATTTTCAAGCAAATGCATTGAATATGTGTACCAACGACGTTCACCGTCACTTTCAAAATATGGTTCATTATAGGATGTTTTACGTATAAACTCATCACAATTCTCAACAAAACTACGTACTAAACTTGATGCATACAATTTCCAGGTTGTTTTCTCTTCATGTAAATTATGTAATTTAGCTATAATTTCAGCTGGAATTTCATCGTGTGGTTGGTGTTGTTGCTGTTCAGTGGGATTATTCTATCAAGTAATCAAATAAATAAAATTAGTTAATTCAATACAACTTATTCAATGTATTGACCTTTTTTAAGAAAAAAAATCAATACATTGAAATTTTAACGATGAATGGTTGATATGAACTGTGTGTGATTTATTCTGATTGTTTTCCAAGTGTCTCTCTCTTCTGTGAACTTGTTCTTTGCATTACGGGGTTATGAAGATTGCTGAGTTACACATGTTTGAAACCATGAATCGATCAATGTTAGACCACCATTAGAAACCTACAAGCACTGGACGGCCTTTTCGTCCTGGTATGGGACTCCTCAGTGGCAGTGCGCATCCACAACTCCTGCACCCCGCAGGATTCGAACCCAGGACCTTCGGTATTGTGCGCGAACGCCCTAACCGTCAGACCACTGAGCCGGTATCCAACCAGTGAAGTTCAACCTGTTCGGGTGTAGGCAGTGTCTACCGAAGACTGTGTATGAGGTTGTGCAACTCCGTGAATTTGATCAAGTTAGACATTAACACCGTTAGATACCAGCTTAGTCGTCCGATGATTAGGCGTTCGCCTACAGGTTTCTAATGGTGGTCTAACATTGATCAATTCATGGTTTCAAAAATGTGTAACTTATTTTTTAACCAAATTGACTAGTGAATGATAAGGTTTACAAATATAAATTTTGAATGTATAAATTTAATTACTTCAAATGGTGAGTTCAATGTTCAACATATCGTTCAATCTATTTTATGAATGAATATTGTACATTGAAGTCGATAACTTTCATTACATCCTGTATGTTTTTGTGTGTTGTTCGTTCTACATTTTAATATTCTCATAGTAGACAATTTCGGATACTTTAAAAATGCTTAAAATAAATATTTCAATGAAAATTACATCAAAATGCAGCATTATATAAAAGGAAGGATTTGATTTTGACCAATTTGGTCTTGCGTGCTGTTACGTGGGGCATGAGGGTGGTTGCCACTTCCCGGTGTGATGTGAGCTACTTATAAGTAGTATATGACGTGAGTGTCAACGTAATGTCTTGCAGCAGAAGATGGGGGAAGATCAAGAAAGGAAGAGTTCGAAAACAATGGAATTTGTATGAAACGCATGAATAGTGACAATGGATTGATGTTTTGCAACAGGAACAGTCCAGTTCGATATGATGGATTGATATTTTGCAAATTAACGATTTACGATATGGTTTTCCTATTTTACTGAGTAACTCTGTAATTTCCGTTTGCCCCACCTGTGCTCTCGTTCACTACACCGGCTACCCGCACACATTGAGGAAGGGTGTTTCTTGAGGAACCTGAAAAGGACGGTAGATTAGTGTTGATATTGGAGACTTGGGAGCGTGACCGTAGAGCCCAAGGGACAACTGTTTGAGACCGATCACGTACGGCCGCCTTTTTCCTGAAAATTTTTCTGAGTATTAGCTCCGCTCTTTTTTTTAAAGCCTTTATTTACCGCCGGAGACTGAAATTCGGAAGAATAACTGAACGTGTTAAATACGAAACGATCGATTAAACTATATAAGGATACTATGAATATGCTTCAAGTCTTATGGCTTACTTGTTCATTACCATGAAGCTATCTATAAATTACTACAGAATACTGCATTATAATCAACTGACAGAATATATAGTCAATCACATTTACTCTTTCGATAATCTTTCTATGCTGATTATTGAATTAAAACTATGTAAGTCAACAGACTTGATGACTACTCTACAAAATAATAACACAAATACAGTGTAAAATCAAAATTTTTGAGTTTAATGTCTTAGCAAATCGCGCAGTTACATACTTACTACGTTAAAATGTGAAATACTTAAGAGATTGACATAAATTCTTAAGAGTGATTCATATCTTTTTTTTTTTAAATTTAAAATCTAAATTGTACAGAGCAGCATTAAAATTAAAAGTTTATGGTCGTCGGTAAAAAACCAATGGAATTTAAGTTTAAGTTCATTTTTTACATACTACTACTGTATGAGTTATGCATGAATTATGTGAGATCTTATTTAAAAGACAATCAATAATAGTGTTTTTTCAGATAGACGTACATTATTCCTGTAAAAATACCATGTTTTTGAAGCATTGCTCATTTATGACGGAATCACCAAGTAAATGATGGAGAATTCAAAATAGGCTTCAAATGAGAGGTAGTGTAGTGAACGAGAACACAGGTGGGGCAACCGAATTGTATTTAACGAAAATTACAGAGTTACTCAGTAAAATCGGAACACCATATCGTAAATCGTTAATTTGCAAATTATCAGTTCATCATATCGAACTGGACTGTTCCTGTTGCAAAACATCAATCCATTGTCACTATTCATGTGTTTCATACAAATTCCATTGTTTTCTAACTCTTCCTTTCTTGATCTTCTCCCATGCTCTGCTGCCAGACATTACGTTCACACTCACGTCATATACTACTTATAAGTAGCTCGCACCACACTTCAACTCGTTCAATAATAGAATTTAGTCAACGTTAAAGAAGAAACTAGCTAGGTATGACATGGATTACTACTATTTGTTGATGATTAATCATCCTTATAAAGACTTATAACTGGTTTTATTTATTATTATTATTATTATAAAGGCAAATGATATCTATGCGTTATTTCATATATTCAAGAAAATGATAATCATTTATGGTATCAATGTTTAGCTCTCTTGATTCACTGATTGAATTTCTTTTTTTAAAAAAATTTCAATTATTTTCGTGGTGATTTTTTTTACTTCTAAACGTTTGGTTAACTTTTTATAGAAAGACGTTGTTTAAGTGTTTTTTTTCAAAAGATACTGTAATTTTAGTCGCTTTTAATTTATTTCATTATCCTACTACTAATCGTTGGACCAATAATATGGGTTAGATAATTTATTATCGATCACCTTATATATTAAAGATTGTATTTCAATCATAATTGTGTTACTTAAAGAATTTTTCAAAACCAAAATGTTGAATTAACACAGAATGAACTAATTTCACAGCCATGCATCTACTGTCTTGCTTGGGTCTTTGTTTGGTACTGTGTATCTGTTATAGCTCAGGTGTCGATAGATTAATGAGGTCAAACTATCACTGGTTTTTTCATTTGATATAAAATTGTCCTCAAATCTATGCGCCACATTTTGTTTTGCATACTATAGATGTATCACTGTTAAATTGATAATTTTGTAGATTGCATTACTGAATTGACAATTTTTTAGATACTTAAAACTTCAGTCAGTCATTTGCAATGTAGACCTTCGTACGTACGTGCATCTGTGTTCAAGTTGCCATACCACATTAGCACACATACGCAATTGTCAATTCAAATCACATAGTAGTAGTAGTAGAGGTAGTAAAAGTATTAGAAGTAATTGGAGAGATTAGGCTTCAACGAAATTATTCAAGAAGTATAATTCAGGGAAATAAACTTAAGAAGAGATAGATAATGTGATGAGGAATTTAAAAGATTAGGATTTGAGAGAACACAAATAATGAGTGCACCTGTGTCATTGCAAACGATTTTGAGCTGTGTCATTGAAGATCTCCAACTATAGATTACTATCATCTCTCGGATCCCAACCAGGTAGTCGAAACCTACCGACATGACTCAGTTCACTTGTCAGTGACTGCATGGATTTCTGCCATGTTTTTATCTGGCCACCCCTGGATTTCTTCCCACCTATTTCTACATCGCAAAACATAGCTCGATGAGGCAGTCGGTGGATAGTCATACGTAACACATGTCCAAACCATCTCAACTGATGAAGTTTCACCACTTCATCTATTGATCTGCCATCCTAAAGACAGAATCGCTTACTCAGTTGTCCCAGGATACACAAGCAATAATGCTTTAGAAATACCTATGATTCATTGATAAAGAAAAAGATCACATTAACTAAGGTTGTTAAATCAATAATATTTTCAGCTATTTTTTAATCTTCAGTATCATTCAATCAATCAAGCACTATTCAACGAAAATTGTATGATTTTGTTGTTGTTGCTGTTGTTGTGGTGTAGTGAAAGAGAACACAGGTGGGGCTACCGAATTATATTACTCAGTAAAATTGGAAAACCATATCGCAAATCGTTAATTTGTAAAGTATCAGTTCATCATATCGAACTGGACTGTTCCTGTTTCAAAACATCAATCCATTGTCACTATTCATGTGTTTCATACAAATTCCATTGTGTTCTAACTCTTCCTTTCTTGATCTTCCCCTATCTGCTGCCAGACATTACGTTGACACTCACGTCATATACTACTTATAAGTAGCTCGCACCACAGTAGATGTGACAACTCAATTTTATAAGGATACATACCACCACCTATATACATCGATTGTGGTGGTTAGCAAAATTTGTAACGCTTATTGTCTAATCATTGAATAGTTTTTTCATGGGGTAGATAAAGTAAAAAATATCTAAGAACAAGATGGAATAACTTTCGCAGTTGAGAAATTTCATTCATTCAATATCTCCCACTTAACCTTGAGTTGTTTATTTTGTCCTATTTGTTTCATTGAAACTGTATCACTGATTTGCATTGGCTGGCTAAGAATCTTTGCAATCTGTTTTGACATTTTGGATCCTGTATGGATTGCCCCGATATCTTTATTTAGTTGTAAGCATTTTTAATGAGAAATTTATGATGGCTGGCCGTGGAATCCAGGACTCAGGTTTCGTCATATTTAGAGCTTCTCAGTCGGATGTACCTGACACTGGCTTATGAAATGAGGCTATATGAACTCAGTAACTGAAAGGATAACGCGATGGCATTTGGAATGAAAAGTTTTAGGTTCGAGTCCCGGAATGGACATCAATTCTGTGACAGAGGTACATCCGGGTGACGAGTTCTAAACTGGACAAATCGTGCATCATGGATTCCACTGCTAGCGCACATCCGCCTCTGCTTATTACGCCTTGACCGCTAATTCTAATAATCGTTGTAGCTGATGTTATTTCCTTTCGATCGTTTCTCATTTTGTTGACGACCTATACTTTTCTTATCGTGATGATTTAAAATGTGATAACTTGCACTGAGAAACATTTATGCTACATTCTTGACTGATGATACACTGACTGACTTTTAACATTGAATAGTATTTCAACAGTGTTCGATGGAAAGATATGACGTAAAACCTTTTCATTTCAGTAAATGTCTACTACCCTAATAAACCAATCAGATTTCAGATAGTAGTTATCACCTTCTTGGTTGAAATAACAAAACTCATTAACGGATTAATCATATCTCATTAAAAGTTAAGGAAACACTATGAGTATTTAATTAATAAAATGCCTACAATTGAAAAGACTAAGGAATAGTTGAATTCCTGCTCGATTTTTTACCATTACTCCGAAAGATCTAAACCTTAAACTTTATTTTTAACGTCAGAATTTATTTGTTTTAAATAGTAGTTATTTAAACTCCACCATGCCTTTGATTATCATCAACATGGCATATTTTCAATGACTATTCATATTGTAAGTGTAAGGATACTTACTACTCCGAAATCAGGTCTCATATGGTCGAAAAATGTAAAATTTCGGAAACGCCAAAAAAATCACATTGCCCGACATGAGACAAAAGGTAATAGAAGTGTTTGGGCCTATTTGCATCAAGTTGGGCTGTCTCCTCTTCTACTATCCTACGCCATATATGTGTGTACACCATATGCTATACTGTTATATAGGGCTGAAGGTCTCCTATGAGACTAGAGATTCACTGTGAACATTGTGGATGACTTGGCATTGTTTTGGTAAGCATTGTTAACAGTCCCTCTAAAAAATTGGTTATCATGGCGACCGATTTCATTGATATAGGTAGGTGGTTGTTTTGCAACATTCCCGAGGGCCATTGTTATTGGGGTGCTGTATTATACATATCACCATTGCTAATAATAATGAGTTGGTGACAGTCATGTAAGCGGGATGGATCGTAAATGGCCTGTTTATGCGGTGCATATTGATTGACGAAGCGATCATGGATCGGAAATATATACATATATACCAGTGTGTGTGTATATATATATAAATGGTGTGAATGGTCCACCAGGGTATCATGTACCGAACTCTTCATGTAGTAATGGTAAAACGTGTACAGTCTCTTTGGTTCTCCTGAAAACCAATGTAAAATTGACCCCTTAACAATACAGGTTAAATATTTTATAATTGTGGTAAAGGACCTTCGGTAGTGTGAGCGAACGCCTTAACCGTTTGACCACTGAGCCGGTATCTAACGGTGTTAATGTCTAACTTGATCAAATTCATGAAGTTGCGCAACCTCATACACTGTATACATCCGAACAGGTTTGAACTTCACTGGTCACGACTTCCCACTAGAACTCGGAGAAGATTCCTCACCAAGCTAGTCACTAGTGAACACATGTAATAATTGCATTGCGGGGTCGTAGTGAAGATTGTTAAGTTTTATTTGTAACCATGAATCGATCAATGTTAGACCACCATTAGAAACCTGGAAGAACTGAAAGACGGCCGTTTCGTCCTGGTATGGGACTAGTCATCAGCAGCGCGTATCCAAGACTGCTGCATCCCGCAGGATTCGAACCCAAGACCTTCGGTATTGTGCTCGCGGCCGTCCAGTGCTTCCAGGTTTCTAATGGTGGTCTAACATTGATCAATTCATGGTTACAAATAAAACTTAACAATCTTCACAACAAACCCGCAATGCAATTGTGGAAAAAAGAAAAAAATTGAATTGTCAGTGCACACAACAAACAACTCACCTCTAATGGTTTAACATTTGTTTTAGTTGCTTGTTCATTAGCTAAACGTCCTATGACTAAATCTTGTTGTCGTTTCTCTTCTTCTAATAATTTTTGTCTTTGTAATAATTCTTCATGTGTTTCTTCCCATTGTTTTTCTTTTTCTTCATAATTCATAATTTGTTCACGTAGTTTTTGTAATTCTCTTTGATTTCCAGTAGTATAATCTTGTGCACTGCTTATATTTAATTCTGATGAAATAGTATTCCTTTGTAATGGTTGACTATGTTGTCCACCTGTTAATGATTTATATTCTGTACTTAACATGGAATTAAATTGATCTGTCGAAGTTTTGAATTTATCCACTTCATGGACACCATTTAAATGATTTTGTTGTATATGATGATGCTGATGCTGATGATCATCTGTAGGCAACATTAAAGGACTATGATAACTACCATTCAATTGTATTTCATCTAATTGTTCATTGAGAAAATGACATTCTTGTGTTTTTAATTCTAATGATTGTTTAGTTTGATCTAATTGCCAAGTGAGTGCATCAATTTCAGCTTCTAAACGTTCACATGCATTAATCAGTATACTAACTTGTTCATCATGTGTTTGTGAATTATTTAATAAAAACATACTTTTCATCTGTGTAGAAAACAAAGAAGAAGAAAGAAAAAAAAGAGGAAACAAACGTGAGAAATAAATTGAAATCATTGATAATGTAACATACAAAACTGGCATTTATGTAAAATCGGTTCAAGTTAAGTCATGCTATCAAAACATAGAAGGATAAAATTATCAAGATAAAAAAATATCAATGATTTCATGGTTGCCTTTAACTATGTTTCAAGCTTCATTTACAAATAGGCGAACGTCGTACATTGAGGTTGGCGATTATTGGCTGTACGTTGGGCGGGAAGGATTTGACTATATCCATTACCACCTTGTGTTCTGTTACGGGTATGAGGGCGGTTGTCACTTCCCGGCTGCCCACACCGCGGAAGGTTGTTTCTTGAGGAACCTGAAAAGGAAGGTAGATTAGTGTTGGTCTTAGAGACCTCAGAGCCCAAGGGACAACTGATGGAGGCCGGTAAGGGATGGCCTTTTTGTGAGAAGTGTTAGTTCCGTTCTTGTTTAATTAGGCCTTACCGCCGGAGACGGAAATCCGTGAGGTAAGGTGAGGTGTGTCAGTGTGTCAGTCAGTTGCAACGTAGAACTTCGTACGTAAGTACATCAGTCCATGTCGCCATACCACATCAGCACAGAGATATAATTGTCAATTCAAATTCAATATTAGTAGAGGTAGTAAAGGTATTAGAAGTAATCGGAGAGGTTAGAATTAGAAGATATTATTCAAGAAGTATGATTCAATGAGATAAGTTTAGAAAGACAAAACTAGAGGTGTTGAAGAACCCAGAAGATTAGGATTTGAGAGAACACAAAGAATAAATGCACTGGCGCCATTGAGAACGATTTTGAGCCATGTCATTCAAGGTCTCTAACCATCGATTATTATCATCTCGCGGACTCCAACCAGGTAGTCGACAATTAACGACATGGCTCAGTCCACTAGTCAATGACTTCATGGATTTCTGCCATGTTTTGATTTGGCCGCCCCTAACTTTCTTCCAACCTATTCCTACACTACGAAACAAAGCTCGTCGAGGCAGTCGGTGGTTAGGCATACGCAACACGTGTCCCAACCACCTCAACTGATGAAGTTTCAATACTTCATCGATTGATCTGTCATTCTTACCTAGTACCTGTTTCCTAATAACAGCGTTGCTCACTCAGGTGTCCCACGATATACGAGCAATGCTTCGAAGACAGTTATGATCGAAAACCAATAACCGACGAGTATCTTCTACTCTCATTGGCCATGTTTCACAGCCATAAAGTAAGACGGAGCGAACCACTGCGCAGTACACTCGTCCTTTAGTCAGCAAACGGATATCTCGCCTACGCCATAAGTGACGCAGGTTGGCAAAAGCCAATCGAGCCTTCTGTATCCGTGCCGAGATTTCGTCAGTCACCAGGTTATCAGCACTGATGAGACTCCCCAGATAAGTGAAGCCGTCAAAACGCTCGACTACTTCACTCCCTATCACTAGTTCAGGTGCCGATGAAACCCAATCTTGAAGCAACATTTTGCATTTCGAGGGTGCGAACCGCATCCTGAACATGCTTGCATTGTTGCTTAGGGTAGTCAGAAGACTCTGCATTTTGTCAGCGTCTTCACCAAGTGGGACTATGTCATCGGAATATTCTAAGTCAGTAAACGAGCCTCTTGATAGAAGGTCTACTCCTGAAAATTCAGACGAGGATAAGGTTATTTCTAGGAGCATGTCTATGATAAAATTAAACAAGAATGGAGAAAGTGGACATCCCTGACGGACACCACTTGAAGTAGAGAATTCCGGTGACAGTTCGCCATAAGCTCTCACTCGACCAGTGGTGTTTGAGTAGAGAGCTTGTATGAGGTTAATGTACTTATTTGGTACACCTTTCAATGACAGACACTGCCACAGAACCTCACGATCAACAGAGTCAAATGCCGCCTTAAGGTCCAGGAAAACAACTATTGTAGGACGCCTAAATGTGTGTCTGTGTTCCAGGACCTGTCGTAGTGTGAAGACGTGGTCTATACAACTCATCCTTAACCTCGTCTGAACTGCATTCAGTGGGGGCATAGGCAGATACGATGAAGAGGCAACGGCGATTGTCCCTATCTTTCCGAGTCCTTACTGTCCCGTTTAGTCGGACAGCGCACAATCGACTATCTATTGGGATCCAGTCAAGGAGAGATTGTTCTGCCCTACGACTCAATGCTATGCCTACGCCAGCAAGACCCCGGGAAGCAGCATCAGGGCTACCGGATACACGAAGAGTAAATCGAGCTGCTTCTTTTTGACAAGGTGAAATCAGATTAATAATTTTACTAGAATCCTGTATGCGCGTTTCCGAGACGCAGCATACATCGATGGCACGAGTTTCTAAAGTCCTAGCTAAGGAAGCCTGTTGCCCTATTTGACACAATGTCCGTACATTAAATGCTCCAACATGTAGTCTAGAGCGAGGTTTAAGGAGACCAGGAACGACGTTTCGCGAACTCGTATCGTCTGCATTAGCTGTGCATTGTGATGAATGAATGTGAGAAGAGTTAGTCGTGGAGATAAGAGAGGTACTAGGGGGTGTAGGAAGGATTTGATTTTGACCAATTCTTTCTCGCGTGCTGTTACGGGTATGAGGGCGGTTGTCACTTCCCGGCTGCCCACAACGTGGAAGGTTGTTTCTTGAGGAACCTGAAAAGGAAAATAGATTAGTGTTGGTGCGTGACCGCAGAGTCCAAGGGACAACTGCTTGAGGCCGGTCACGCACGGCCTTTTTATGAAATGTTTTTTGAGGATTAGCTCCGTTCTTAAAGGCCCTTAGTGGGCACCCTTACCCAAGGAGACGGAAATCCGTGAGGTAGGGGAGGTGTGACATTTTTAGGGCCGACCTTTTCTAACCCTTCCTTCCTTGTGAGAAGGCAGCATCGCTGCAGATGCTGGCTGTCCGAGGGAAACACCTTACTGCTGTCACACCCTTCTGCAGTCAGCAGTATGACTTCGCCCTCAGACCCTGGGTAGCTGCTTTTAGTCTCATCGTTCGCCAATGGACCTGCCTGGCAGGGTAGAACGCACAGGAACATATGCTCCAGCAAAATATAGCTCGGTTGGCTCATCACGATAGGCAAGCCCGATGACCAAGACAAGGTAGCAGCTACGGTCGGGTGACTGCAAGTAATACTGTAAAAGTTAATCTGTTGATATAAACGGTGGCTGACAAAACCAAACCTTAAGTAATTAGATTGGAGGTTCAAACCATGTAGCATCAATTATGATTTAAATGAACGAACATTATAATGTTTTATGTGAATAGGTCACAAATAAAAATAATCCATATCTACACACATGAAAAATGTTCGCATGTCATAGCAGGTAATTTTTTTACTTACTTAACACTGCACTAGCCAATGACAAGGTGATAAAGGTAGATACAGTTCACCGAACAATAAAAGGGGTTGGTATTATAGCCAACTGTTTGCCAATATCAAAAGTTTATTTATTCATTCTCTCTACACCTAAAAGAGTATGATCAGTTCTGATTCATGTTATCCATCGTGGTTTTAACGAATACATCAACCATATGATCTATTTTTAAGTCAATACAAAAGCCCTGAATCATTTTTCTGGTCAGTCATTAAGCCTAATGACAATATAAAATGCGAGAGAATTTTTGTTAAAATTGAGTTAATCATCGCAAGAATCAACTAAACTAATCTGAAAATTTCATTTCTTTGGAAATTACTCAGATCAGATTGTCTGTACGTCACATATATTCATTCATTGTGTGGTGTGCTACTTATACGAACGATATAAGTAGTATAAGAAGGGACGTGAAAGAAGTCTCACGGTCAGAAGAGGTAAACGGAAAGCAAATGGAGCACAAACAACAAGTAAATGGAGTACCAACAGGAAGGAAAGGAAGCAACAACAGGAATAGAAGAAGGATGGAGCGTTGGAAGTCACGACTCAAAAATGGCGTGCGAATAGAGTGTTCAATGTAATGTTTTCGTTTTTAATTGACTCAGAGTGTAAATTTACATAATACAGTTTTCCGCGCCTGCCTCAGTCTTCTAAATTGAACAACATTGAACATTGAATATCTAAATACACATTTAAACAACCAATGAAAGCAATATATTTATATGATAAAAGTAACATTTTTAAAAAAAACTCATTTATAGATAGATATATTCAGTATTTTTTCTATTACTTTAAATGCTTCAGCATCAGTTTGATATTGTGCAGCACATCGTCGAAATTCTGTCAATTGATTTTGCTGTTGATCAATGATAGTACGCGCTTCAGTAAGCGCTGTTTTCATTTCAATATTCTGTGCTCGTGCATTTTCTAATTCTTCATGCAATTTATAAATATCATCTTCTGTCATCTATTCAGTTTATATGTGACGAGAAAAAAAAAGAAACATACTGTTATTATTAATTGTAACAAAATTTAATGTTTTTTTTTCTAATGATTATATGCAAACAGAACATCATTTCACTGCGTGATTTACCGCTGTGGTGCGAGCTACTTATAAGTAGTATATGACATGAGTGTCAACGTAACGTCTGGCAGCAGAAGGTGGGGGAAGATCAGGAAAGGAAGAGTTAGAACACAATGGAATTTGTATGAAACACATGAATAGTGACAATGGATTGATGTTTTGAAACAGGAACAGTCCAGTTCGATATGATGAACTGATACTTTACAAATTAACGATTTGCGATATGGTTTTCCAATTTTACTGAGTAATATAATTCGGTAGCCCCACCTGTGTTCTCTTTCACTACACCACAACAACAGCAACAACAACAAAATCATACAATTTTCGTTGAATAGTGCTTGATTGATTGAATGATACTGAAGATTAAAAAATAGCTGAAAATATTATTGATTTAACAACCTTAGTTAATGTGATCTTTTTCTTTATCAATGAATCATAGGTATTTCTAAAGCATTATTGCTTGTGTATCCTGGGACAACTGAGTAAGCGATTCTGTCTTTGGGATGGCAGATCAATAGATGAAGTGGTGAAACTTCATCAGTTGAGATGGTTTGGACATGTGTTACGTATGACTATCCACCGACTGCCTCATCGAGCTATGTTTTGCGATGTAGAAATAGGTGGGAAGAAATCCAGGGGTGGCCAGATAAAAACATGGCAGAAATCCATGCAGTCACTGACAAGTGAACTGAGTCATGTCGGTAGGTTTCGACTACCTGGTTGGGATCCGAGAGATGATAGTAATCTATAGTTGGAGATCTTCAATGACACAGCTCAAAATCGTTTGCAATGACACAGGTGCACTCATTATTTGTGTTCTCTCAAATCCTAATCTTTTAAATTCCTCATCACATTATCTATCTCTTCTTAAGTTTATTTCCCTGAATTATACTTCTTGAATAATTTCGTTGAAGCCTAATCTCTCCAATTACTTCTAATACTTTTACTACCTCTACTACTACTACTATGTGATTTGAATTGACAATTGCGTATGTGTGCTAATGTGGTATGGCAACTTGAACACAGATGCACGTACGTACGAAGGTCTACATTGCAAATGACTGACTGAAGTTTTAAGTATCTAAAAAATTGTCAATTCAGTAATGCAATCTACAAAATTATCAATTTAACAGTGATACATCTATAGTATGCAAAACAAAATGTGGCGCATAGATTTGAGGACAATTTTATATCAAATGAAAAAACCAGTGATAGTTTGACCTCATTAATCTATCGACACCTGAGCTATAACAGATACACAGTACCAAACAAAGACCCAAGCAAGACAGTAGATGCATGGCTGTGAAATTAGTTCATTCTGTGTTAATTCAACATTTTGGTTTTGAAAAATTCTTTAAGTAACACAATTATGATTGAAATACAATCTTTAATATATAAGGTGATCGATAATAAATTATCTAACCCATATTATTGGTCCAACGATTAGTAGTAGGATAATGAAATAAATTAAAAGCGACTAAAATTACAGTATCTTTTGAAAAAAAACACTTAAACAACGTCTTTCTATAAAAAGTTAACCAAACGTTTAGAAGTAAAAAAAATCACCATGAAAATAATTGAAATTTTTTTAAAAAAAGAAATTCAATCAGTGAATCAAGAGAGCTAAACATTGATACCATAAATGATTATCATTTTCTTGAATATATGAAATAACGCATAGATATCATTTGCCTTTATAATAATAATAATAATAAATAAAACCAGTTATAAGTCTTTATAAGGATGATTAATCATCAACAAATAGTAGTAATCCATGTCATACGTAGCTAGTTTCTTCTTTAACGTTGACTAAATTCTATTATTGAACGAGTTGAAGTGTGGTGCGAGCTACTTATAAGTAGTATATGACGTGAGTGTGAACGTAATGTCTGGCAGCAGAGCATGGGAGAAGATCAAGAGAAAGGAAGAGTGGGAACACAATGGAATTTGTATGAAACGCATGAACAGTGGTGAAATGTCAGACAATGGATTGATGATGGATTGAAGATTTGCAGATTAACCGTTTACGATATGGTGTTCCTATTTTACTGAGTAACTCTGTAATTTTCGTTAAATACAATCCGGTTGCCCAACCTGTGTTCTCCTTCACTACAGAAGTATAAATCACTAGTTTAAATGACTCTATTCATTATGTTTCAGTATGATACAGGAAGACAATCGGATTTAGGTTTTGTGCTAGATTATACAGTATATTTTTGCAATGATATTTTTTATCTTGAAATCATGAATGAATCATTGTTCGACTACCATTAAAAAACTGCAAGCACTGGACGGCTGTCAAATCCTGGCATGGGACTCATCCGTGACAGTGCGCATTCACGACTCCTGCTACTTGCAAGATTCAAACCCAGGACCTTCAGTCATGAGCGCGAACACCTAACCTCTAGACCACTGAGCCGGCATCCAACGGTATTAATGTCTAACTCTGATCAATCTAAGGATTTTTGCCCAAGTTCACCCATTGTCTTAGGTAGTTACTGCCTACAACCGACAAGGCTTAACTCCACTGGTCACGTCTGCTTACTAGGAACTCCGAGAACTTCACTAAATTAGTCAGTCACTAATCAGCACATTTCTCAAGTTTGCATTGGAGTATTATGGAAATGATAGTTTTACTTTGAACTCACGAATGAATCATTGTTATTGTGCGTCTGCACAAAATCTTTAGATTGATTAAAGTCAGACATTAACACCTGTGGATGTCGGCTCAGTGGTCAAGAGGTTAGGTATTCGTGCGCAGGACCGAAGACCCTAGGTTCGAATCCTGCGAGTAGCAGGAGGCGTGGATGCTAACGGCTGATGATTCCCATACCAGGATGAAACGGTTGTCTAGTGCTTTCAGGTTTATATGGTAGTCTAAAATCGATCGATTCATGATTTCATTGTGTCAAAACAATGAAATCCATAATACTTTAATACAAAGTCATATTTTCTTAATTGATACTTAATGATGTGGTTCCGAATGCGTCATAATACAGTATTGTATTAACAAGTGACATTCTGTACGCAATCAAAGTTCCGAACTTTTTACTGTTTGTTTTAAATAGCCTAATTGTTTCGTTTTTTTCCTGTCACATAAATATATTTTTGAAACCATGAATCAATCAATGTTAGACCACCTTTGGAACCTGAAAGCATTGGACAGCCGTTTCGTCCTGGTATGGGACTCCTCAAAAATGTGTAACTTAACAATCTTCACAACCCCGTAATGAGAATTACCTATGCTCACTAGTGATTAGCTTGGTGAGGAATCTTCTCCGAGTTCTAGTGGGAAGACGTGACCAGTGAAGTTCAACCTGTTCGGGTGTAGACAGTAACTACCGAAGACAGTGTACGAGGTTGTACAACTCCGTGAATTGATCAAGTTAGGCATTAACACCGTTAGATACCGGCTCAGTGGTCCAAGGGTTAGGCGTTCGCGCACAATACCGAAGGTCCTGGGTTCGAATCCTGCGGGGTGCAGGAGTCACGGATGAGCTCTTCTGATGAGTCCCATACCAAGACGAAACGGCCGTCTTTCAGTGCTTCCAGGTTTCTAATGATGGTCTAACATTGATCGATTCATGGTTTCGAAAATGTGTAACTTAACAATCTTCACAACACCGTAATAGAAAAATATGTATCAAATGATCAGAATAAATAATAAGTCATTTGAAGAAAAAATGCTGTGCTAATAATAAAAATAACATGACAAAACTTACTTTCCTTTTAAAATTTGTTTAATACTCTGTTAATACTTCAAATAAGTTTTTTTAAAACAAAAATTAGCGGAACATTCATTGTTGAAAATAATAAGTTAGTTTAGAATTATCGATCTCAGGTGTTCAATGCAATGACACACCTTTATAGAATATAATTCAATAGATAGATAAATATATCTATATATCGAAAATCAAAGCAAATAAATTAGAAACCACCATATAGTTAGTATACGCTAAGCATTTATTAATAGTTCGCATGTGATGGTAAACAAAAAAGTAAAATAGAAACAGAATCAATGATTGAATGAATGAATCTATTGTAACCACTGAAATGTTTATTCTTGTTTTTGTTTACAACAGCTAATAAAACGTAGCCGACAGATGAGTATGACCAAAGAAAATCAATACTCTTTCTATGAGAATAATAATAATACTAATAATAAAAGCCATTACAAATCCTAAATAAAACTCGAACTGATTTGTTGTGAAAATCACTTTTAGGTTATTTGATAACTACATGTTAATCAATTCATCTCAGTCAGTCAGTCAGATGCAACGTAGAACTTCGTACTACATCAGTTCATGTCGCCATACCACATCAGCACAGAGATATAATTGTCAATTCAAATCCAATAGTAGAAGAGATAGTAAAGGTATTAGAAGTAATCGGAGAGGTTAGGATTAGAAGATATTATTCATGAAGTATGATTAAATGAGAAAAGTTTAGAAAGTCAAAACTAGAGGTGTTGAAGAATCCAGAAGATTAGGATTTGAGAGAACACAAAGAATAAATGCACCGGCGCCATTGCGAACGATTTTGAGCCATGTCATTCAAGGTCTCTAACCATCGATTATTATCATCTCGCGGACCCCAACCAGGTAGTCGACAACTACCGATATGGCTAAGTCCACTGGTCAATGACTTCATAGATTTGTGCCATGTTTTGGTTTGGCTACCCCTAACTTTCTTCCAACCTATTCCTATACTACAAAATAAAGCTCGACGAGGCAGTCTGTGGTTGGGCATACGCAACACATGTCCCAACCACCTCAAATGATGAAGTTTCATTACTTCATCTAATGATCTGCCATTCTTACCTAGCACCCGATTCCTAATAACAGGGTTTCTCACTCGGGTGTCCCACGATATACGAGCAATGC